TTTTTTTATTTTTTTTTGGGGGGGGGGGGGGGTGATATGACAAATATAAAACACATCACATCAACGTTGAATTGTGTACGACCTCGAGATGCTATCCACCATCCCGTCAACAAGTTCATGAGAGCTCTGCCTTGATCCTGGCCATCGCCAGAAGTGGGTCTTTGAGATTAACCGAGGCCTCGAGTCATTACTTCCGGTCACTGGTGACGCTGCCCGTCTTAATTGAGTCGCGGCCCATACATTATCAAACACTGAGTGGGATTTGTGTTGAGAGGTCAAGTTGTTTTTAAATACATATCAAAACATTGGTGTCGGTTGTGTATTGATGTGTAAAGTTAACCCAATGGATTCTTAACACGACGTAGGCATGGCGTGAGCGTTCATTAGGCGTGATGAGTATTTTTCGCGTCGGCCATTATGTTGATGCATCAACGTTGTCAACGATGAATTTTTTTAACGAAATGAAGCGGACAACAAATTTTCCAGAATTATTGTTTACTTTTGTGCCCATATAAAAATATCAATAAATTTGTCAAAATTTTGTGACATACATGTTCATAATGCTGGGGAAATATTGGGGGATTAAAAGAAGAAAATATTAAATGTCGATGGTAAGGTTCTATAAAAAAAATGTTTGTATGAAAGCTGATCATTTTGAATAGTCCCCCCTGCCAAGGAGAGGCCATCCCATGGGAGAGTCTTCAATCGCACTTTGCTTCATATGTTGGACTTTTGCTCTGCTCGCGCTGGCTGGGGAACAATGGTGGATATTGTAAATGGACATTGTATATGGACATTGTATATGGACATTGTAAATGGACATTGTACATGGACATTGTATATGGACATTGTATATGGACATTGTATTATGGACATTGTATAATATACATTGTATATGGACATTGTATATGGACATTGTATATGGACATTGTATATGGACATTGTATATGGACATTGTATACGGTCATTGTATATGGACATTGTATATGGTCATTGTATATGGACATTGTATATGGACATTGTATATGGACATTGTATATAGATATTGTATATGGGCATTGAATACGGACATAGTGTATGGACATTGTATATAGATATTGTATATGGGCATTGTATACGGACATAGTATATGGACATTGTATATGGACATAGTATATGGACATAGTATATGGACATTGTATATGGACATAGTATATGGGCATTGTATATGGACATTGTATATGGGCATTGTATATGGACATAGTATATGGACATTGTATATGGACATAGTATATGGACATAGTATATGGGCATTGTATATGGACATAGTATATGGACATTGTATATGGACATAGTATATGGACATTGTATATGGACATAGTATATGGACATTGTATATGGCTCGATTTTTAAATATGCAACACTTCCTTTAAAAAACCCATAACGGTGTTTCTGTTTTTGATATGAATTTAAAAGAGTATGGCACGATCACGTGACATGACACAACTTGAAACATCAACGCTCCAATGTGTAAGCTACAACCTTAAGAATACTACAGTACAGTGAGAAATGTACCATTTGTAGCGTTTTCTGAGGGCCGCGAGCTCAGCTTGTAAGTGCTTGATCTCATCATCCTTCTGGTCTAGTTTCTTCCGCATGTGCTCAGCGTCCGCTTGGAGCATGTTGACACGGTTGCTAAGGAAGCGGTAGCTCAACATTGCCGGCTTGGGTCTCCCTTCATGGATAAACGTTGCATACATTAGGGAGGAAAAAAAAAAGTACAGCTACTGAATAATAGTAAGAAAGTGATAGCAACAAATTCAGTTTAGGAAGGGGAGGGGCGGAGGAATTTGATTTCTAAATGTATCACGTTATGAGAATACGAAACTCACTTTTAACGTCGTCTCACATTGTGGACTAAAGGAATAACATGTTTTTATAGTGCATGGTTTGTCATTTAAAGAAGTCTATTGATCCCTAACAGTCAAGTGTAGTTATTCAATATGCTTAGTAAAAGGTAATGAATAAAGTCAATGGCGAGACGGACCTTAAACATCATCAGGGTATTATAGGATATTTTAGCAGTCCCGGTTTAAGTTGCTGTTCTTTGATACTGTTAAAGGTCCTAAAGTTTAGACTTACCCGTGCCGGCCGACTGCTTGGGTTCACCTACCCGTGACGGCCGACTGCTTGAGTTCACATACCCGTAACGGCTGACTGCTTGAGTTCACCTACCCATGCTGACCGACCGTTTGAGTTCACCTACCCGTGACGGCCGACTTCTGGACTTCACCTACCCGTGACGGCCGACTTCTTGACTTCACCTACCCGTGACGGCCGACTTCTTGACTTCACCTACCCATGAAGGCCGACTGCTTGAGTTCACCTACCCGTGACGGCCGACTGCTTGGGCCCATGTATTCGCCTCGATGGGCTGCCTGATTGGACGCCACGCATTTTCCGGGAAAGTTTGTCTACGTCAATGAGGAGTGAGTACCTGAGGAAATTGTGTCTATGATATATGAACCTAGCCTACTAGACACAAAAAACTTGGTCTCAATTTAGATACTTTTTTAAAAGTATTGTCTTCATATTGTTTTTGATCTGCCTTAAGCTTGTTTCTTTACCCTTCGCTTCGTAAATTCTAAAGAACTTTTTAGGACTAGTTGTGTCAAGTTTGCCTCAGATTTTTACGGTTTAAAATGTATGTACTAAAATGTCTAGCCCCTTGTACAAGTGGCAGCCAGAATATGTGTCATTCATATCCACAGAAGATAAAATAAATATGTCCCCAACTCCAGGTCAGAGAGTAATAAAAGATTTTAAGATGATGGTCAGAGAGTAATAAAAGGTTTTAAAGATGTTTTTTTTTTTTTTTTTTAAATGATGCATTTTTGTTTTACACATCAAAAAGCGTGATGGTTTAGAGTTTTAGTTTTAAAACTCACTGCCATTTCTGTGATCCGTTAAGTGTGACAACCCCCCCCCCCCCTTGCCTGACTCTAAAATGATTTTTTTTTGGTGGGGTGGGGGGGTGTTGAGGAAATCAATTTCTCTAGAATACTACGTCCCTACGAAAGCGTCGTGAAGTATTTTTGGTACCAATCAAGAACCACCCACACAGATGCCGTTCTGTCACCTGCTCTTCTGCTCTTGACTTAGAAACCTCTGCACACCTTGAACAAGGTTGACCACTCCAGTGGATTTCTTGTCCGAAAAGAGTATCGCCAGCGCGTCTTCTCTGTCTTTCTGCAAAAGGCTCAGTTTACACTGAAACTCCCACAGCATCTGAAATGGTGAGAGCACGTTAACTGCTTGAGAACCGTCAACAGGAGATGAACCTCTGCCACGTCACCTCTTGGTATGCTAGAATAAAAACTTTACAAAACAAGAAATTTAAAAAATAAAAGATTAAAAATATGATCTGAAACCGAGTTTTACCCGTAGCAAGAAAAGTGTAAAATTAATCTCGAACTCTTGCAAGGCCACAGTTGTGATATGCTAAACACATGTCTATACCCTTAGCCAATCAGCCAGCAAAAGTTGATTTAGAATTTTAGGTTGAAATCGCATTATTACTCTCCGCCCCCCCCACCCTTTTTTTTTCCACAAACCAAATCTTAAAAATAAACAACTACAACAAATAAACAAAAAATGACGTCACCTCCTGCAACTTTATGATCCTAGCTTCCAGAGCTGCGACTCCCTCCTCCTCCGAGTCAGTGATAGGTTCCCCAAGTATCCCAGCAAGCCTCTCGTTTATGACGGCCAGCGCCTTGTCAAAGAAACGAAACCTGTCCAAAATGAATATATATATATATATATATATATATATATATATATATATATAAAACAATATAAAATTGTATTGTGTGAATAGCAGATCAATGTGAAGAAATGAGTTTCGTAATTTGTGACTCAATGTCTTCGTTAGCTCTGCGTCTTCTGTCAAAGTCTTTCAAACCTTTCGGATGTCATCCTTTGGTAATTGATTGCTGTTTTTATCAAAACCATGTGTGAACAATGCCTTACACTGAGACACGTTTGTCGGTAGGTCAGTAGGTTGAGGACAACTGTTTACTAGTTACATAGACTGAGAACCCATGGCCTCCCGTCCAGCCGTACAAACCTGCCACTTTTGGACTGCATGTTTGAGTTGTCGTTCCCTAGGGCCGTTGAAGGGATTCCTGGGCTGGGGCACGGAGGCATCCCGTTCTTTAGTTGGTGTTTTTTGGTAAAGTTGAGAACCTGTGCAGGACAAAGGATTTAACCTGATCATATTATCTTGATTGAGAAAAACTGCTTGCATTATTCAACAAGAAAAACTGTCCGTCTCAACTGAGTCGGTTTTTTAAAATTCTTATCATAGGGCGACGGCCCCCTTTCCGCCCCTTTCACATCCGCATAAGTGGGTTGGGGGGCTGAATTATAGACGGTAGATCATTGTCATCCTCAATCGTGTTGCGAAGATGCCGTTTTAAAGCCAACCCCCAAAGACGCACAGTCTGGTGTAGTGCTACTCGGCATGCTCGCATTCAGGGCCACAAGATTTGTATTAGGCCCAGGTAGGTGTAAGTAAGGATGAATGAGTGATTGAGTGAGTGAGTGAGCGAGCGAGTGAGGGAGTGAGTCGGTGAGTGAATGAGTTATTGAGTGAGTGAGTGCATGAGTGAGGGAGGAAGTGAGTGAGTGGGTTAGCGAGTGAGAGAGTGAGTGAGTGAGCGGGCGATCTACAAATTTGTGTTAATCCCATCCTCATGCATTAAATGACCCGAGTTCAAAATTACCCCCCCCCCCACCAATCTTTTTAGAGGCTTGACCTCCGACTAGAGACCGACCGAAAGTTATTTTCTGATTTCGGCCGAAAGTTTAAAATGACTTTCGGCCGAAACCGAAAAAATGCCGAAAGTTTAAAAAATGACTTTCGGCCGAAACCGAAAATAGGCCGAAAGTTAAAAATGAATTTTGGCCGAAACCGAAGCCGAAACCGAAAATGAAATATTAAGATAGTTTGAAATTCGTTCCCGCATACATTCTGCATACATCGAAAATTACATTCTTTTTGTAAAAAATTAGATAATCGTGAATATTAATAAATAAACATCTAATATAGGGGTCTCAAACTCGCGGCCCGCGAGCCATTTGTGACCCGCAAGACGATATTTTGCGGCCCGCTACATGACAGAAAAGTGTAGTGTAAATGCGCCGGCCCGTTTCCGCCATTCTCACATCTATTACGTGACTCTCCGCGACGGTTTCAGTCGAATCTCACCGACTAGTCTAATTCTGATTTTTTTTTAAAAAATGTTTCTATATATTTTTGTACGCCAGGTCTCTGGCAACAGTGAGTTTTCTTGAGAACCCTTAATGATTTTATTGTTATTTATAAAGGTTGAGCAGATTGTAACAGTTGTAATCGCTTTTTTGTGGATTACTTGATGCGGCCCAATCTCATTCAGACACTACCTCCTGTGCCCCCCTCCCCCCCCCCCCCCCCCCCCACCATCATTTGAGTTTGAGACCCTTGATCTAATGAATACCTTGGATTTTACCATTTTTATATAAAAGTAATTTAAATTGCTTTACAATTTAAAAAAAAATTAGTATTGTAGGAGACAATTTGGCAAAAATTGGGGGGGAGGGGGGGAGGAGGGGAAATTAATGTAAAATATTATTTTTTTAAAACAGGGTCTCTAAAAATTGTGGTTCTAAAAGATCGCTTAATTTGTTTTTAAAGATCTTTTATTTGGTTGTTATTGATCGGTTAGTTTGTTCATAAGGATGGATGAGTTTGTTCATAAAGATCGCTTAGTTTGTTGTTAAAGATCGCTTAATTTGTTTTTGAAGATCTTTTAGTTGGTTGTTATTGATCGTTCAGTTTGTTGTTAAAGATCGCTTAGTTTGTTCATAAAGATCGCTTAGTTTGTTGTTAAAGATCGCTTAATTGGTTCTTAAATATCGTTTAGTTTGTTGTTAAAGATCGTTTAGTTTGTTGTTAAAGATCGTTTAGTTTGTTGTTAAAGATCATTTAGTGTGTTGTTAAAGATCGCGTAAATGGTTCTTAAAGATCGTTTAGTTTGTTGTTAAAGATCGCTTAATTGATTCTTAAAGATCGTTTAGTTTGTTGTTAAAGATCGCTTACTTGGTTCTTAAAGATCGTTTAGTTTGTTGTTAAAGATCGCTTAATTGGTTCTTAAAGATCGTTTAGTTTGTTGTTAAAGATCGTTTAGTTTGTTGTTAAAGATCGCTTAATTGGTTCTTAAAGATCGTTTAGTTTGTTGTTAAAGATCGTTTAGTTTGTTGTTAAAGATCGTTTAGTTTGTTGTTAAAGATCGTTTAGTTTGTTGTTAAAGATCGTTTAGTTTGTTGTTAAAGATCGTTTCGTTTGTTGTTAACGATCGTTTAGTTTTTTGTTAAAGATCGTTTAGTTTGTTGTTAAAGATCGTTTAGTTTGTTGTTAAAGATCGTTTAGTTTGTTGTTAAAGATCGTTTAGTTTGTTGTTAAAGATCGCTTAATTGGTTCTTAAAGATCGTTTAGTTTGTTGTTAAAGATCACTGAATTCATTCTTAAAGATCGTTTAGTTTGTTGTAAAAGATCGCTTAATTGGTTCTTAAAGATCGTTTAGTTTGTTGTTAAAGATCGCTTAATTGATTCTTAAAGATCGTTTAGTTTGTTGTTAAAGATCGCTTACTTGGTTCTTAAAGATCGTTTAGTTTGTTGTTAAAGATCGCTTAATTGGTTCTTAAAGATCGTTTAGTTTGTTGTTAAAGATCGTTTAGTTTGTTGTTAAAGATCGCTTTCGCTGAGTATTAAAATTACCGAAAACCTTAGTCACTTTCGGCCGGATGGCCGAAAGTCTAAGTCAATTTCGGCCGAAACCGAAGAAAAACCGAAAGTTAACTATTCTCTTTCGGCCGAAACCGAAATTAAGCCGAAAGTTAACTTTTCAGTTTCGGCCGAAAGCGAAACTTGGCCGAAAGTGATAAATGGCCACTTTCGGTGCCGAAACAGAAGCCGAAGCCGAAATTCGGTCGGTCTCTACCTCCGACCCTTACACTTCCAACCTTTAAAGTTGAACTGGGACCTTCATTTTTTTTGGAAACGTACAGCATTCTATAACAAGTTCTGTTTCTTGGCGTTAAATTAGTCAAATTAATCAGCATGTTGTCGGATTGTTTTTGTTTTTACTATCGCAGTCTGTATCTAACCAGCTGATGGTAAACATGATGTTGAAACCCCAAAAATTTGTGAAAATAAAACCGCATTTGTCTGCTTTAATTATCGTGCGACGAAATACAAATCCAAACGGTTTGGCAAACCGCCTTCATCAGTACAACAAATGATATTAAAGTAAAGTAAATCTAACATAATATATTATTATATCCTACCCAGCGGCGTAGCTGGAGTTGGGTGGTCCCTGGTACGAGATAATTCTTCTTGTGTTATTTATATTTTTATTTTATACTTTTACATGCTCAGGCCCCTTTTGGCTTCAAGCCCTGGTGCGGGGATACCACATGCACCTTCGTAGCTACGCCACTGATCCTACCTATTAAAGTTTAAAAAATAACAAACAGGCAATGGCTCGTAGGAGATGTGCAAATGTCGGTGTGCAATTTAACAGCTAAACTCAGTTGTCCTGTGATATAGATGGAACGAAGACATAGCTCTGAACTTTTTTTCCTTTTCAACTGGTGAGAAGTTGGCAATGTAAGATCAATCGACCAGATAAACATAATAGTTCTGCGCGGGGGTCGTCTTTGTTCCAATATTTACCTCTTGGTTCATAATATTTATGTCCAAGGAAAGGGAGCGAATAATGTCATTCTTAACGTTCAGTTCAGCCGAGAGTTGCTTCACCTGCCAGAAGTTGTAAGGAAAATAATTTAGAGAGTGTGTGATAGCGAGAGAGAGAGAGAGAGTTTTTGCGTGTGTTTGTGTATGAATGTATGTGTGTTTGTATGTGTGTTTGTATGTGTGTTTGTATGTGTGTACGTCCAAACTAGTTTCAACTTATGTTTTATAAAAGCCTGATTGGGGTTGAAATTATTGGACTAGACGTCTGTATTAACGATAGTAACAAATATACGGTCAATACAAATGTGCGTACTCTCGGGCAAGGCTACAACACTTAAGTTCTCCCGGAACTCTTAGTCTAGTTATCTCAATTTTCCATTTTTATCTCAATTATCAACTTTTATCTCAGTTGTCCACTTTTATCTCAACCGCCAATTTTATATCTATTTGTTCACTGTTATCTCTAAGTGTCCTCTTTTATCTCAATTTTTTCATTTGTATCTCAATTTTCCACTTTAATCTCAATTCTGTACGTTATTTTCGATAGTCCACGTTTATCTCAAACTCAATAGTCCACTTTTATATAAAAATTGTCTATTTTTATCTCATTGCCTATTAACTCATAACATTTTTTCAGATTCTGAATATGTCGCTGTAGGTCGTAAATTACCCATAAAGTGTTAAAGTCGATGACCTAAATTGCAACAGAACTTAATTACAGAATAATGCTACGAACAAGTCTTCGACTCATGGTACGAACCAAGTGCTGATCCATACTACGAACCAATCTCTGACACATGCTGCGAGCCAATCTTCGACCCATGCTTAGAACCAATCTGTGATACATGGTACGAGCCAGTCTCCGACCCATGCTACGAACCATTCTCTGACTTTCAGTCCACATATTTACCTTTTGGTCAGATTCAGCCGCATGGGATTGATGGTCCATGTCTTGTTTATACTCTTCTGCCCTTTGCTGGAGAATGGTGGTTGGGGGGGGGGTGTGTCCAGGTGGTGGGGCATGGGGGAGGAAGGATGTGGGTAAGAGGAATAGTGTTAGCACTTTGAAGCCAAAGACTAGTGCTGCGTTGTTTAATTATTTGTTTGTTCTTTCAGGGAAAAACAACAACTTTTATTTGAATTCCCGATTGAAAAAAAGTGTGCAAATAGTCGCGTGGATGGTCCTAATTATCAAATTATCAGTGCCAGTGATGGCGTGCACGGCCGAAATATTACAATTAGTTGTCCCAGAAATGGTGTCCACGTCCGTAGTGATAGTGACGTGCATTGTTGTTAAAGTTGTCAACCGTTCAAGATGCTAAGTACAGAGTTGGAAATTGGGGGGGGGGGGGGGGGGAAGTCCTTTAACTTGTCCTTTAACTTCTTAGGATTTGTGAACATGGGCAGTTAATAGACTCAGACAGCATCTCTTGACTTGGATTACCCAGTTCAGTGAAAAAAAAAATGTCAAAGTGACTCATTGAGAAAACGTGGTGAGGGTAAAGCTGTAAAAGCCACTGAAGGGAAAACTTGACATGGGTGACTTAAAGAAGAAAAACCATCACGCCAAGACGTGTTGAAGATCTGGCCGCTTCTCACCTTCAATAAGTCTAGTCGTCCTGATGAGTCTTTCCGCCATTCATTCTGCAAAAACTTACATCTGATCTACTCGGATGTAACAGCAAAATTGAAAAAAAAATATATCAGAGAGATTATCAATATATTAGCAAGATATATCAAGATTAGAGATACAATGCACGATTAGTGATTCAAAGCATGATTATCAATATATTAGCAAGATTAACCATATATTAGCAAGATTAACCATATATTAGCAAGATTAACCATATATTAGCAATATTAACCATATATTAGCAAGATTAACCATATATTAGCAAGATTAACCATAAATTAGAAATATTAAGGATACGATATTTTTTTGTATAGAGGGTAATTTTTAATGACCGACTCAGTCGTTATAACTTCATCAACTAACAACCCACCCTTGCGTCCAGGGAGTGGGCAAGGTGCTTGAGTTCTTCATTGGACAGAGAAAGTTTGAGAGAAGGGACGGACGTTAGGTCATTCTCATCAACCATCGACCCGATGACCTCTGTCAAGTTAACGATAACACATTAGCTGATACATGTGCAACGTGTCTTTAGTGAAACACACAAAAAGAATGTTGCTCAGTACCGGAGTTATATGATTTTAAAAAACAAAGTCTTTTGTAAAACACAGAGCATTGTGGCTCAGTGCCGGTGTTATGTCATAAAAACACCAATATATTTTGTAAAGCACAGAACATTGTGCCTCAGTGCCGGTGTTATGTCATAAAACACCAATATATTAAAATTTGGTAAAATACAGAACATTGTGGCTCAGTGCCAGTGGTATATGATAGAAACACCAATATATTTTGTAAAACACAGAACATTGTGGCTCAGTGCCGGCGTTATGTCATACAAACACCAATCTATTTTACTCAACTACAGTGCAGATTGATAGCGGGGTCGTGGCCAATGCTAAAATAGATCACCTTGACCTTATGAAAGTTGGAGACGTTTTTGTTAATTTTATGTGTGTGTGTTTTTTTAATTCTGCGATAAAAAAAAAACGAATGAATTAAATTTTCTGGCGCGACGGGTTTCGAAACATTAAAAAAGATCATAGTTACATCCTTACATTTGAACATTTCAAACTTTCTCAAATCAACACAAAGGACAGGCCTTTGGATAGGCCTTTGTTTACATCGGAATGTTTCATTGCACAAATGTTATCCGCCCATGAGTCTGAATAACAAGTCTCATCCACCCGGGATGCATGTGATGTTTTTTTTTTGCTTGCCCGTGCTTTGGTTGGGGATAGAACTCCAGACCATCAACTTGAGAGATTTACTCAGCTTAGACCACTCGGCCACCCAAATATTACAGTAACTAATGTTTCAATATTTCGTGGACTTGATTTGATGTCTTTGAGATGGATTAAGGTTAAATTAAATCATGTCAAAAACATATCTCGAACTGGCATATCTACCTTCTTCGTAAAGCAGGTCCGCAATAAAAACCTGGCCACATTTTAACATGGCTTCTCTGAACTTCCGGTAGGAGATGTTGCCCCTTAGTTTCATGGACTTTAACAGGATCTCGTTCTTCTCACGGCGAGTGTTGCCTTTCTGGAACGTAACAAGGAAACAAGAACTGGAACTAGGTGTCTAAAGTGTGGCCCGTTTTTTTTTTTTTTTTGGTGTGTTTTTATTGGTGTGGTTGGTGTGGTTGGTGTGGTTTTATTGGTGTGGTTGGTGTGGTTGGTGTGGTTGGTGTGTTTTTATTGGTGTGGTTGGTGTGGTTGGTGTGTTTTCATTGGTATGTGTGTTGTGGGGATAGCTCAAATTTGCATCCGTTTTTGGGTCAAGACGAACTTACATTGCCAATATATATTTATGAGCAGTTGTAGAATGTTTAGCTGCCTGTGTCCGACATGATGGATTAAATTTTGTCAAGAGCAGTAACAGAGTCCAGGCTGAAGATCACTGCTCCTCCCCACCCCCACCCCCCCCCACCCCAAGTCTCTTATCCAACCTGGGGTGATGGAATGCCAGGCAGGCACAAGATAAAGATAGTTCGAAACTGGAGATGATTGCCCAAAGAATCGTGGGGGCCAGAGAATCTTATGTTGGCCATCCATACAAGGGAGGGGGAGATAGCCTTGACTTGTTGCAGTCTTTGATTCATGAGGTGGGTGCCTCTTATGCGAGTCTCAGTCTAACAGAACCGTTGGGAGGTTGGGGGGGGGGGAGGTGGCCTTGCTATTGCTCAGTGGCTTGTTGTTACCTAACAATGTGAAGGACACGTTGTGTGTCTTGCAATTTTTATGGTAATTTAAACAAAAATGTGTTTTTTTAAAATATTTTTTAAAAATTATTTTTCAATCACTTCACGATATGTGTGCTAAACACAAAGCGGACTGCGCAGAATGTTGCGCAGTTTATTAGTTATGCAGCTTCATCGTCTTGTTGGAAAGTTTTTGAGTCTCACCCTTCCAAGTCCTGAAATGGACTCTCAGATTACAAATGGTTAAATCTATAAACAGATTTACAAACATCGAAATATTGATATATTCATTAGTCAGATTAATTAATGTTACATAGAAAGTGGATCTTTCTACTACTTGTTACCTACTGCTATTATGTAGAGAATCTAATCTCTTATTTTACTCTATGTTTCGTATCAAACAGTACATATTATAGGTCATTCACTTTTTGGGACCAACCTATAGCTCTTCAATGGCCCTGGCAAGTATGGTACAGGCCTGCCTCATCTGCTGGGCAGTTCCGTAAATCAGGCTCTCGACATGGTTGGTTGGGAGCACCCTGTCACACCAGTAGTTAATGCCGAGAACTCGGTTAGTAGGTGCTCGACCGATCTCCGGCGCCTTTCCAGAATAGCGGCAGCTCGGGTCCCGCAGTGGGTGCAGCCTATTCAGGTAGGTACGGCTATGGCAATGCTCTGTCTTCATCTGCGTGATGAGGCTCTGCTGGGGGTGTTTAAGACACCACCAGTAATCGCCTTTTCGGTTAGTTTTGGGCATATTTCGGTAAATTGTTCGGACTGCGTAGATCCCTTTTCCAATTCTTTAGTCCATTCCTCACGGAAGAGGTCCTTGATCCAGGCCTTGTTCCCCAGTTGGGTCATTGGTCGGTTAGGTTGAGGCTGGGAAGAGCCTTGTCTCAAAATATAGTCATTTCTATCCTGTGGGGGGATCCCCGCATGTCCTGGAATCCACTGAAGCGTAACGTTGCCCCCGTGAGACTGTATGTCATGTACGAGCTTCAAAATTGCATTGGTCATTTTCGTGTTCACAGAGCCCCTGTTTACAATTTCAAGAGCACATTGTGAATTGGTGAACTCTACAATGGATTGACGTGTTTTACGCCTGGCTAATCTGCGTCGCGCTTGTTTCAGGCCCATTAATATTGCTTCGATTTCTGCTTCAAGTGCAGTGCTTTTCGTGCCACTTGGGACAAAAATTTCCTCCGTTGGAGGTACCCGCTTTGGGAAACTGGATGAGTGTTCCGGAGCCTGCCCGCTACTCGATGACGAGATAGCAGCCGTCCGTGAAGACTGTTACCACGTCGTCTTTATATGACTCGATCGACTCTATAGCGGTCCCATTTTGCTCATATTAGGGGCTCGACTTGTTAACTGCCGTGTTGGACAGCTTCAGACGTCAGGCACTTCGCAGCCATCCTGTGGTGCTCTCTCCTGGATCAGGCGTATTTTCTTCCTGTTCCCTGCTAAAGGGTGCTTGTTCTCGAGTGAATGGATCGCATCCATACAGGAGGGTCTTTTTAGCCTTGTCCTCTTTACCCAGCGGGCTTGTAATTGGTAACAGGGTTTCGTCCTTTCCATTCGACGGTAACGCTCTACGGTCGTTAGGATGGCCTTGTCCCTCTTGTTGTGTAGTGGCTCTATGTCTGAGATAATTTCCACGGCGGCCATGGGTTCAGTACGCAAAGCCCGGCTTACAAATCTGAGAGCTAGATTCTGTATCCGGTCCAGACCCTCTAGAGCCGTTCGGCTTGCAAAGCCCTGCACCGGGAGGCTGTAGTCAAGGTCTTAGGCTCCCGGGATAGAGTGTTCTCACAAGTCTTGCATCAGCTCCCCAAGTAGTGCTAGCAAATTTTTTAACCAGTTTGAGTTTGGACGTGGCTCGAGGGCCGAATTTCGTACATGGTTATGAAGTTGGAGTTTTTGGTCCAACTTTATGCCCAAATACGTGGGTGACTTATCCCATTTGAGTGACTTCCCGCAGGTGTGAAGATGGATATCTTCTTAGAGAGCATCCCTTCTGTTGGTAAATAATGAGTAGACAGTTTTCTCCGCATTTACCACCAATCTCCATTTCCGAGCGTAACCCTGTATCTCAGTGATATCACATTGCAGCCGGCTCTGCAGTTGCTGAATGGATGAGCCAGAGCACTTGATTGCCAAATCACTTGCAAACACTGTGTTCTTCGTTACCAAAAGTGACTGCAGATCATACACGTACGCCAGGAAGAGGGTGCAGCTCAGGGCCGACACCTGTGGGACCCCATCCTCGAGTGCACACATGTCCGAAACCTTGTTTCCGACACGGGTGGAAAGCGTACGGTTTGACGGGAAAAAATTGAACCACCGGTGGATGTTGGTTGTTACTCTGAGCAATTGTAACTTGTACAGCAGACCGGCCCTCCTGACTTTGTCGTAAGCATTCTGGAGGTCAAAGAAAACTGCGACAGTATGATTTGTCATCTGAAGCTCACTGGTGGTACTTTGGATAAAATGGATTACCTGGTCCATACGCTGCCTCCCCAATATAGTCTAGCGTTGACCATTCACTCCGCCACCTCCCCAACACACGGTGTGATTTGGGGTGGGGGGTGTGGAATTTATTAATAACTAATAGTTTTTTTTCCCCTTTTAATTGTTACTATAAATAAAAATATTCTAGGTATGTATGCATGTATGTATGTCTGTAACGCTGTGTTCAATAGGCGCTCAAACACATACAAATATCCCAGGAGTTAGCACTAAGATGTGTATTTTTAAAAGTACGTTCCGTGTTTTGTCAAGTAACTTTAGTAGGGTAGATGGGACATTCACGCGTCGCCATTGTTTGGCGAGTCATCTATAGCAAATGAAATAATGAGAGAATTCCACCGCCCCTCAGAGCTGCAAAGATGTTCTTACCTTGATGTCCTCAATCATCGCCGAAGGCAGGACTTTGTCCTCCACCAGGACACTGATCAGAGAACTAGTAGGATTGATGTATCTGACCAGGACGTTCCAGTGTCTGGACAGAATGTCTTTCAAGCTTTCGTCCATAGCTAAGGGATATAAATACGTGAGGTAGAACATTAACATTTGATATTATTTTACGCTATAAAATATGTTTACCGCCAGATATAATTAGCGTAACTTTTGCTTCGGTACCAGTGGCGTGAGTTGTTTTGTGCCCCAACGAAGGCTAAATCTGGCCAGCTAATTTTTTTTTGTTGAAAATCGGAATATTATTCCAACTGTCACATAGGCTTATCACTAACCAAATACAAGTCCATTACCTTGTATGCTAGCATGCCCAGATTTATCACTAACAACATACAATTCCATTACCTTGTATGCAAGCATGCCCAGACTTATCACTATCTTCATACAGTTCCATTACTTTGTATGCAAGCATGCCCAGACTTATCACTATCTTCATACAGTTCCATTACTTTGTATGCAAGCATGCCCAGATTTATCACTAACAACATACAGTTCCATGACCTTGTATGCAAGCATGCCCAGACTTATCACTATCTTCATACAGTTCCATTACTTTGTATGCAAGCATGCCCAGACTTATCACCAACATCATACAGTTTCACATGCAACTCATTCACCAACATTATATCAATTAAATCAGTTACAATGAGTTCAAATAGTTTTATTTAAAGAATATAGTACCATTAGGATCAAATCATTTGCTACAAATTGGCAATTTTTGTTTCAGATGCAGAATTTTTTAAACTTTTTATTTTAAAGTTTCGTGGGGATATGGGAGAGAGAGGGTTTAAATAGAGACGTTTTCGTTCAATATGTCAGACATAATATACGTGAGGGGGTGGGTCGTCTTCAACTACATTTTTTTTCTTTTTTCAGATGTTAAAAAAAAAAATCTCAAATAATGCAAAGACATGCTCTACAAATGTCTTACATAAATGTAGTCAATCTGAAGTCAAAATCTGCTCTGAAATTATTTTGACCAGTAAACTTTGAGTAGTTTTCAATACACCTCCGTTCAAAGTTGACTATTAAAAAATAATTCACTTTATTAGTCCCCCCCCCCCAGCACTTGAGACCTACTCAAAGGGTAAGCAACCCAACATGGATCATATGCATGGTATCTTACATAAATGTAGTCAATCTGAAGTCAAAATCTGCTCTGAAATTATTTTGACCAGTAAACTTTGAGTAGGTTTCAATACACCTCCGTTCAAAGTTGACTATTAAAAAATAATTCACTTTATTAGTCCCCCCCCCCCAGCACTTGAGACCTACTCAAAGGGTAAGCAACCCAACATGGATCATATGCATGGTTTAACGTACAAGTTATTTCCCTTCTAAGTGATTACCTTTTATACAAATTATTAAGATGCTTCTTGGCTCACAGTTACGAAGCCTGGGTGACAGGGTTATTTATTTCTAGCATCACACATTAATTACATTGACGCGCCACTCTTGTACCAGTTATGTTAAAGAGGTCTTTTACAGCTATGCTGCCAGTGCTGGCTTTAGGTAAATGCGATATAGGATGGCATAGGCGCGATAGGTTATATAAGCGATAGATTCGATGTATGCGATATAGACGATACCGGCGATAAAAGTAATATTGACGATACAGGCGTCAAACGTAATATTGGCGATGTAGGCTATTAATGCGATTAAGACGATATAGGCGATACAGACGATCAAAGCGTTATTTTCGATTTAGGCGATATAGACGCTATGGGTGAATTAGTTGATTTAGGCGATATAGACGCTATGGGTGAATTAGTTGATTTAGGTGACATAGACGCTATGGGTGAATTAGTTGATTTAGGTGACTTAGACGCTATGGGCGAATTAGTTGATTTTGGTGACTTAGACGCTATGGGCGAATTAGTTGATTTAGGTGACTTAGACGCTATGGGCGAATTAGTTGATTTTGGTGACAGACGCTATGGGCGAATTAGTTGATTTAGGTGACTTAGACGATGTAGGGGACATCTACCCCTCACGGTATCAGAAAGAAGTGCTTTAAAAAAAAAAAATATATATTTTCATTTTTTTTCCACAGATAGATCCCGTCATGAGCAAGAATAAACCAGATTTTTATTTTTACTGCCCCCCCCCCCAAATACCCGAACAAAAAACTGTCCAGGTGACTGAAAATACAATCCCTTGAATTTACTGAAAAAAGGGCGCCCTGGGGGAACGGAGCACTCCCCAAACCCCCGCCTTTTTAAATCCAAGTGTGTTACAGTCATATAATATCAAACATTTGAAATGTACAATGCACTCGTAACAACTATATTGCAGCACTCTTCTACCAGTTATACTGCCCCACTCATCTACCAGCCGTATGGCCCCACTCTTAAAACACCTATATTGCCCCACTCTTCTACCAGCCATGTTGCCCAAATCTTCCACCAGATATGTTGCCCGACTCTTCTTACAGCTACATAGCCCCACACTTCTACCAGCTATGTTGCCCCATTCTTCTATAAACGATATTGCCCCACTCTTCAACAAGTTATGTTGCTCCAATCTTCTACCAGCCATATTGCCCCACTCTTCTACCAGCTATGTTGTCCCAATCTTCTATATGTAATGTTGCCCCACTGTTCTACCAGTTGTGTTGCCCCCACTCTAATACAGACCTGTTGCCCCACTGTTCTACCAGCCATGTTGCAGGTACATGCATTTCATTTGCATGGTTAATAAGATGGATTAAATGTTAGTAATAAAGACAGTCTTAAATTATGTGCAATTACTTAGCATCCCTTTAAACATCTCCCACCCCATTTTTTAAAGAAAAAAAAATTAGCTTGAGCTGGGAGCGGAACTGGAACCAACAACATTTGTCCCGAGCGGACTAAATCCCGGGTGGAGCTAGCTATAAAGTTTAAAATCATACACATTACAAAACTAAATGTCAAACTATGTTCAATTACATGTGTTCCAGAGCTTTACCAATTGGCAAACTTATTTTTTTTTTTAAAAGTATAGCTACACGTTTTTGAAGTCTTGTAAACAATACTAGCTTTACAGTCGCAGTAGAATAGTGCAGACACAAATAGTAAAGTTTCATTCAGATACAAGTCCTGAAACATTTAATTCATTGTCTTTCAGAGTTGAATGCAATGGGATCTTTAGGGGCCCTTTGTCGAGGGGCGGGGGGGGGGTGGGTTGGGGGGTTGAGGGTAGANGGGGGGTCATTTTTGTCGGGGCCCTGTTGACGGCGGCCTTTTAGTAGGGGCCCTATTAACGTGGTCTCTTTTTCCCGGGACCCTATTCACAGGGGAACTTTCGTCGGGAGCCGTTCCTTTAGGAACCCCGAATTTGCCGGGTCCAACCTGCCGGGGCTGTTTTGACGGGACAAGATATGATGGGTCTGAATTGTCAGGGGCCGGTTGGTTGGTGACGTTTTGGCGGTGAAGCCGACCAGAACACGTGATGGGTTGAATTTTTTTTTTTTGATTTTTAGTCATTGAATGACACAGTTTGTATCTTCCAATAAATTTGGACATACCACGCAGCTGCAAGCAGATTACAATCTCGTGGGGCTTTTAAACCCATGCACGTGTAGGGTCATTATTGGTTTTCTTTAATTAATCCATTGAGCTTAAACACCACTACACAAAAATGTTAAAACATGTTTTTTGATGCAATTGACCCCTCCCCCCACCCTTCCTCTTACAAAAAAAAAAAAAAAAAATGCCTTAGACTTGGAATACGTGATACCATTGTAACATTAGCCTCTTTTGGGACTATCTAAGGTAACGCATCGCTGTGGGTGTTAAAAATATATCTTGTGTAGGCTAAATGTGTTAGTAATAATAGCAATTACCTTTTGTTCATATAATAATTTCTCACAGTCAAAGAAAGGCCTTCGCTGGAGTTTAGAGTTTGTAGCGACATAAATGTTGCCTTAAAGCACACATTTTTATCTAATCTATCTTTCTCTTATTTATTATAAAAGGAAATACGTCATAAAAACTAAGATCCAATTTTTTGTGTCTTTAAATAATATTTCTTTTTTTTTTTTTCGTTTTTTTTAAAACTAAAAAAACAAAACCTTAAATTTATATATTATGATTAATGATAAAAATGTAAAGATAAATATATATATTCCGTTTGAGAGTATGGCTTCTTTGGATAAAACAAATTTGTTTAAAACTGAAAAAAAACAACAAAAAACATTTCAAAGAATTTAAAATGTACAATTATTTTATTTACTTGGCTAATTTTTTTTTTTCTAAGAGTGTTGGACTGTGATAAAGCTGTAAAGTATATTTTTGAGAAAAATCTTATTTTAATTTAATTAGATGGCTTACTACAGAGATAGTTGGAGACCAACTTTATTTTAATTTAATTAGATGGCTTACGACAGAGATAGTTGGAGACAAACTTTATTTTAAATTAACCAGATGGCTTACTACAGAGATAGTTGGAGCAATAACTACGTTTTTCCTGTCCCAGCTTCAATTTTCAACGCCCTTTTCGTGCCCGTTTTTTTTCTCTTAAATTTTACCTGCACCCACTTCCTTTCCGTTCTTCTGAGCTTCGTTTTCTTTAGGGCTTTAGGGCCTTGTGACCGTTACTAGTATTTCCTTTTCTTTCATCATTTGATAAGATACATACATACATGCATTATTTATACACATATATTACATTTTTATGAGCTATATAAATAGAACTACCTTACCATCAAATCCTCCTTAACGAATGGATGGATCTTGAACACACTTAGTACACATGCACTTAACTCTACAACTTTCCTCTCCCAGGTGTTTAATAATTGGTTTTCAGACATTTTTGTTAGGGTCCACGTTTCACGTTCGTATGTTACAACTGGTCTGATTACAGATTCATAAATAACTTTCTTTGATATTTCAGAATCAGAATGTTTTGACGTCTGAGTATTTTCTGACTGCTGAAGTACGCCCTGTTTCCGGCTGATTTTCTTTTTTCTGTTTCTGTCAATAATTCATTTCTTTAATTTAATAAAGATACTTAGGTTCTTAAAATGGTTTACTTTTTCAAAAGTGAGGTTTCTAATCTTGAAATATGACAGGCTA